AGAAGAAAAAAGCGCACACACATTTGGTTATTTAATTTGATTGGCCTTGTGTGACTTTGTGGCCCCTGAAATTGTGTGTGCTTCGGCCACCATGTTTGGCGTGTGCGACATAATTGAAGCGGATACTTTTACTTTCTTCGTCCCCATTCTTCGTTCGAATCGAAATAATTGCGTTCGGGTGCTTCGGCCCATTCGAGACGCTCGTTTGTTATTTCACCAAACGATTTCGAAGCATGTGTACGGTTTTTTTCTTCTTCTTCTTCAACACAACAGGTGGTTCAAACAAGGCATTTTGTCATTTTCATAATTTGATGATACGCTCTTTTTTCACCCGACGCCATTGCATTACGGTCCGCAATTGCACCACGTTTATTCGTTCACATCCGAGAAAGTTTCACCACCGAAACGGTGGTAATAGATTGCATTCCACGATCGACACTGACAATGGATCCGCACACAATGAATGAGTGCATTAAGTTCGCACAAACTTTAAACCATAAATAACAATCTTGATTCCGTTTTTCTCTCTCTCGCTATTTTATGTTGTTTTTTTTCGCTTTTATTTCGCTCGATTTTGACTCTGTACGCTAATTCGTTACAAACAACTTAATAAGCAGAGGAAAATTGCAGTGAGTGAGTGAGTGAGGAAAAAGCCATCACTCGCACACAAAACTTTATTATCATCAATTACGCCATTTGACTAGCAAAAAAACTCTGCTCTACATCGACAATGGAAACAAATTGAAAAGTTTGCCAAAACAAAGTTACAGATCAGTTATCAGCGAGATTGAGTGACGCACGGTTCCATAGCAACATAGCGAAATGAATTTTTTCGGCATTTGCACCCTGAATTATTAGCCGCAATTTATTTGCGAATTTAGAGACATTTCGGATGGAAAAGCTTTGGTTTTTTTTCGGTTGGAAATTTGCTCATTGAAGCGGTTGAATACCAGCTGGAGGTTCTCTGCAGGCCATAATCGCTCCACTCACATACATACAACTGCTCTGCAAACAAGAGATAAAATAAGCCCAACCATTATTTTAACATTCCCAATTAAGGACGGTATAATGTGCATACATGCTTTATTACACTTTGCGTGTTGAATTCGACTTGTGCAAAAATCGCACCGAACTACTTTGTCACACAGACGGAGAGAGAGAGAGAGAGAGAGAGAGAGAGAGAGAGAGAGAGAGAGAGGAACAAACACAATCACATTGTGCAATCTATTTGCATGTTGGCTATAAAGTGCGTGACAATTTGTGCGACGACCATTTGTTTCGAAATGCCAAATTATATGATACACTTTAATGGAAGCGACTCGTTGCAAATGACTGTTGGACTTTGTGAATAAAATGAAAAATGACCTAGGCTTGTCATACAGGATACACTCTGATGAATAATTTTTTTTACTCTTTTGCGCGCTATTTTTTGATTCAATCAAACTAGGAGAACTTTTGTGACGTTTCCTGGTTGAATCACCTTTTTGCGTTGATGATATGCAGATTTCAGTCCCTAATATGGCATTCAAACAAATATTTTGCTCTATCGACAACTTCATGGATGAAAGTCGTTCCATATTTAATCAAACCGCTGCTATTAAATAGACAAATAGCGAATATCGAGTGACAATGAAACTAAATACGAAAAAAGCGATCAAAACATCGATGTTGAATTGAATCGTCATCCAATCGTTTGGATTCCCCGAAATAAGAGCCAAATTACGTATTTAAATCCAAATCTGGAATAATCGATTCCAAATCAAATGTTAAGCCTTATCGAACGGTCGAATTAAATTCAAACGATCGCATTTAACTGGCAAACAAAAATTAAGTTGTTTACAGTTTGTATAAATACATAGGATTTGTGTCAATTGTTCGTTTCATCCCAATGAAATCCGGTCGATATCGAAGAAAAATTGCAAGTCAAACATCTCTCACTTGCGTCACGTTCTTCCGTTCCACTAAATCGAATTGGTATTTCTTATATTTATTTCTTTTGGCACAAGAAAAACACAGCTAAAAAATTAGTTTGCGAAAACAGAAGAAAGTTCCTCATAACCTTGAAGTAATAGTAACTTCTGCTAGATCATTTATTTTCCACTGATTTTTTTTTTCGTCTTCTCCTACGATTTGATTATGTAATGTCTTGATATTTGACGCAAAAAAATTCGCTCAAAATTTGGATACTCGCTCGGGTGGTGTTCGTGCTATTGTGATATGAAAAGGTGCATTCAACGGGAATGATTGAATTTCGAAATCAGCCGCCAATCGGAAATTACTTCTGTCTGTCAGTAAAAGAAAGAGAGAGATTTTCAGTCGATTGAACAATAAAAGACGAGCAAGTGAGCTAGAGAGCAAAAGAAATTTCCCTTCTCCTTTAAAAGACTCGATGCCGATAAAAGACATTTCAATAAAATGGATATCCGATTTTTCGGTAGGAAATGGTGACCACTCAACCATTGTGTGATACACTAACCGATTTTTGAGATGCAAAATGCCGTGACTGTTTGAATCATTTGTTTTCCTGTGAATTTTGAGCGGTGTGAGTGCGAAATTCGAAGCGAATGTGTGTTACGGCGATGTTATTCTTATGGGATTATTCTTACCTGTGCCGAGACGCGTTTCGATTTGCAAAATCGATTGAGGTGCTCAGCAGGAGACAGGAGGTAACGACGCAAATTCATCGATTATGTACAATATTTTTTGATGATTTCTCCCACATCGCATGTCAATTAATCAATACACAAAAAAAAAAAGAAAACACACAAACTGGAAATTGCGTCTGCAGCTCACAATCGCCCAAGTAAATATTTGCAAACGGAAATTAATCGATGTAAAAGAAGAAGAAAAAATTGCGACGACGATGACGACGGCTGCTTCAAAATCGAACGCAATCACATGACATATTATAATTCCTTGGGTTCTAAGAAAATGGTTCTGTGCCGAAAGAAGTAAATGTTGCGTTTTTTATCCTTTCCTACGCGTTCACGTTCTTTGGCAACAATCTTGTTCTAAAACCCAACTTTATAATTGAATTCTCCAAATATTCCATGGCGTTTCGCTTGTGTTTTTTTTTTTATTGGACTATTTTATCCTCGAAAGAGAGAGAGAGAGAAAGAGAGAGAAAAAAGTTCAAAGTGCCATGCACGTCGTAAACCACAAAATCTCATAAAAGAAATCTAAATCATATACAGAGCGTGGCTTTTTTTCTCTATGAACAGGTATTTTCGTCATAAATTTTTCGTTTATGCGTGGTATTTTTTTTTTTGCTTTTCGGTATTTTTTTGCCGTGGATAACAAAAATGGTTTATTTCTATGATTATTACTATAATTATGTACGCGCTTTGAATCAATGTACGCATAAATCTGTACGAACACTGTGTGAGTGTGTGAGAGAGCGTGTGTGTGTGTGCCATGGGAAACCATATGCAAGAATAGTGAAAAACAAACGCTAGTTGCAGAGAGAAAGAGCGGTCAAAGGAACCGAACAATTGGTTGAGTTGAAAAACCTGATGTGCCACTGGCCATTCTCTTGACTTAGTAAACTAAAATCGATGTAGTCGAAAAACGAAACGCAATCCGGAGGCCCCAAACAGCTTTTAATTCGCTTTGTTGAGGCCTGTGCGAATGGGTGAGTGTGCGTTTGGCTCAGTTTTATTCGGTGCGTTTTTCGCATACACAGACATGACCGAAACATCGAGCGAATGAACGAATGAGCGCGCGCACATACCATAGCAAAGTTTTTGGGACTAGGAAAACGACGACGACGACGACGACAGCGACGGCCACCAAACAAAATTCGTGAACATCTATGTACGTACATGCATAACCATAACAACAAGCAATGAACAAACACCCATAAAAAATCATGTTGTACAGCAATATTTTTTATTCCTTCGTCGATAAGTTCAACGGCACACACACAACGTCAGCCAGTCAGCCCAAACAAATCTCAGTGTGTGAAGTAATGCCACACACATGTGCACATTTTGATATATAGTCGTATACATAAAGCCATCATCGAGAGCAACCGTCAGGCAATTCTGATGTTGTGTGTTGTCGTGTTTTTTTTTTCTTCTCGTATCTTTCATAACGAAAGTACAGTCATTCAAAGTTTAAATATGTGTAAAGAAACCGGCACACACATCGACACAGCACAGCAGAAGACGGCCACGACGGCGATATGAGATCTCCATACGGCCGTAAATTTGGTTTGATATTGAAATTTATACACACAACAACACACGCTTACACACAGCAAAACAGCTGAATGCCTCAAAAATGATTAATCCTCAGCCCAAACACACCAAATTCCCATATATACACTAGTGCTATGTGTCGAGAAGCGGATACGACACATACAGTTACACCGACCACGATTTATATGTACACACGTGTGTCGTCATCGAATCGTGTCTCCATGCTGTGCTCTGTGTGTCGTTTTCGCCGCCGCCACCACCATCGCCGTAGACGACGGTCTATTCGCAGGCACCAAACGCGTCAACACAAACCATTGAAATCCCTACTTATATTCCATAATATAATATGTGCCTGTTTTTTTTTCTTCCTCTCGTCGTTCTTGATTATTTTGACTGAGCCAACGATATTTCCATGTCTCGCGCTCTCACTCTGTCTAACTAGTGTCTTGGCTTGTTTGGTTCGATGGTTTGCGTTTTCCATGCACAACACACAACGTTTCGGTTTTACGACAACTATTTCAGCTGTGCGCAAAGCAGCGAAAGTTACCATATAAAAATCCAATTCGAAGACGAATCAGTCTGGACAGCCGTCGATGTGTTTGCATGTGTTTGTATGTGCTTGCATGATGTATATGCGTCGCACCATTCAACCAGGCCGAGCCGAGAAAATTGTATATATTGTACTGCGCCTGAACTGAACGAAATAGCACGATGTGTAAACGCACGTTTGTTTGAATGAAACGAATGAATGGAACAGACATTCGCGACGTATGTCGTAGATCGCCATACAACCGGTTCGCTGTACACATTGCGGTGCACGTATGTGAATGTGCCGTAGCAGCAGCAAGCAACCAAATGTGCGCGTCGTCGTCACCGCATACCGTCGCATCCGCTGCAAACACACACTGATCGCCCGCGCTGCGCTGCGTTCGTCAATCTATCCTTGTCCCACTCTATGCATTCGCCATTCATTCCATACAATTTCGTATATGGCCAACATCAGTTCGAGTCCGCTGTTCATATCGTACGGATCGCTTTAGTTTTTTCTTGTGTTCAGTCCATTTTCTGTTGAAACTACTACTAGTAAAAAGAGAACAATTGAAGTGGAAAAAAACCTCAGCAAAAAAGAACTGAAATAGCAAAATAAAAACCCAGAGTAATTCACATCGAATTTGTTTAATATTCTATCGCGAATTGTTTTTACAAATTTTATTGATTTAAACAAACTATTGTTGACACTTATTTGTACATCAATTACCATATGAAATTCTATAAACAATTGGAACTAAGGAGAACACAAGAATCAACATTAATATTGTGAACTAAGCAAAAAAGAAAAGAACGAAACTATTTTGTCCTGTTGAAATGGAAAATGTGAAAAGAGCAAAAAGCAAAGCAAAACAAATAAAATAGAACACCATTTCGTGCACTGAAAATAATTTCCGAGTGAATCAATTTCGACGTTGAATGAGAATCAAGTGCGACGACGATTCATGATCAGTAGTGACTCTGTGTGCTGCCCTCAAAACATAAACAAACGACAAAAATTCAATCACAAATGCTTTGAATGAGCCGAACAAAAAAAAAAAAAAAGAGATCACAAAGTGAGGTCTATTTTTATATTTTACCAATTTCGATTTGTACACTGTTGTTGCTGCAGTGTGTGAGTGTTTGATCATCATCGACGACGACGTTTTCTGTTCAACTTGATGTGCATGTGTGTGAGTGAGTGTGATCTAGTTCGAATGTATATACAAGTGCGTTGACAAAGATTTAATGTGAGTGATTTGCAATCTATTGTTTATTGCGCACTTCGATCAATCAAAATCTGTATATCAACTTAACAAGAGAGAAAAAAGTGTAGGGAATTTTCAATTGGGATACTACCTAGTGTAATTGCAAATCCAAGTATCGACAAAATCGCCCCAAATATTCGTGTATGTGTGACACTATGAAACATAGAAAGCGAAACATTGTCGTCGTTAGTAACGATTTCATTAATGAACTGCCTTTGTTTCGCAAAATTTTTGTGAAGTGAGACACAAAGAGAGCATACTTTTTCTCGATCACGGCGGGCTCGATTCACACATAGATATATATATATATATTGAACCGAAACACAGAAGGGTTTTCATACACAGTGCATCGTTTTGTTTGAAAAGAAAAGAAAAAAATTCCAACTACCTCGACTGCCTAATGGATTTTTCTAATTAAATTATGTGTGCTACCATTCGACGACGACCACGACGATTCGGTGCATAAATTTGATTTTTGCATAGAACTCATTTTCGTTCGTGCATGTATGTGTAAGCAAGCGTGAGGCCAGTGTTTATAAATGCAACAAACACACACAGTGCTCTTTCCATACTCTGTTAAATGCTGATCCAAATACAGATTGTGCTGCCGCATCGTTATGATGACGTTAATGACAAATAAATTCCAGCAATTTACGGCATCGCAAGCGAAATTATCGGCAGTGGTTTCGTTATTTTGGACGGCTATTGAAATTTTTTGAACATGTGAAAACCATTAACAATTTACCAGAAGAAAAAAAATTCTATATCTGCCTTTTATTTGTTTACGTTTTTTTTATGCAAGAGAAGAAGAAAAAAAAGAGAAGTGTTTTCCTCCCAAAAATTGAAAAGAAAGTTTATTTCGGGTTATTTTATGTGTGAGTGACGATTTGTATTTATCCTAAAAAAAAACAACCACTAGCAGTGCCCCAAGTTGACGAAAAGGAAATCATTACACAATCTCACCACATTTTCAGAGAATATTAAATTGTGCAATTGGATTAAATTTACTCAACCAAAGTGTATGCGTGTATGTGTATTTTATGTTTGAACGAGAAAAAGAAAAGAAACTGATCGATTCGAAGAATTTCTTTTTCATTCGTCATTCGTTTTGTTGTGAGTGCATTTGATAACTCAATATAACCAAAGATTTTATGTGCCCATGTCGATCGCTGTCAATCGCGATAGATTTTGAAATATTTGAATTTCTGCAAAAAGTCGAACGAAAACAATAAAAAAAAACTGTTGGCGCCACACAGGCCCTATCAATTCTCTCTTGTTTACAGTGATTGTTGCATTTAAGTGCGTGTGAACCTCGACCAAAAAAAAATCCATTTACTGGAACAAAGATTAACATTGACTTGATTATTTTTGGGGAAATCGAGAATTTTTGTGGATTTTTCTTCAATCGTTGAAATTAATCGCAAAGCAAAGACAAAATACAAATTTGAGCCAAATTTGTAAACGGGTGTGAATGTGTGTGGTGTAATAAAGTCGAAACAAACGCGAATCAAGAAATTTTTCTTTTGGAATTGGTTAAAATTATTCCTTCAAAATTTGGGATTACCTTTCAGATCTGGTAAGTGATGGTTCGTTTGGAGAAAGAACAAAAAATATGGTGTTGAAATGACAATCGCTGCGTTTGACAAGCGATTTACAGATGTTTTGTGTTAAAATACGTGTTTTAAATCAAACTCATTCATTTTGGTTGTATTTTTTGCCTCTCTCTCTTTCTCTATCTCTCTCGCGCGCGCGCTTCGGGCACAAATCATTTCTTTTTCTAAATACTTAAAGGTCGATTTGTTTCGTTTGGTTCGTGAATCGCTTTTTTTTTTTGTCGAGTCAAATCGAAAAAACGAGTAGAAAAAAAACACACACACAAAATGTTATTCAAAAAGAGTATGCGTAACATACGCACCTTTGAAGAAAATACGTCAGACCATACATTGGATGCGTGTAACTCGACGACCTACTCTACGCTCTTGAATAATCTATTTATTGCGGTGTATTTCATAATGACAGTATGGTGTGTGTCAGTGTTTAGGCTATTGAAATACACACCACATGCAATACAGCGTCGCGAACAACAGCAACGTCGAAGCACTTGAATTCGTGTTTCATGTATCGCTTCATTGCACAATTCCTACCTCGCTCGCTCTATCTATTCGTCGTCATCGTCGTTCGTTGTGTTGATTCGCGCGTGTTTTGTGTGCTGTTGCTGCTGCTCTTCAATTTTTTCGTTCGCATTTACTTCAATTCAATACACTTGAAAAGCGTCGTCTTTGTTGAAGAGTCAACTTCTATTCAGCGAATCTGTTGCCTGTATTTGACTTTGTTCGTTTATTAGTTTCTAATTAGATATTTTTGTCGATTCTCGTCTCTCTATTCGGCGAGCGGAACGCAAACACACACACTTCGTCAAATGGACAAAGGCGACACACACACACCGAGCGAGAAGTGTTGGTTTGAATCGTTCGTTTCGTTTCGTATCGAAACAAATCCATATTGAAATTGTGTGCAGAAAGCAATTTTATTAATTGTTATGCTCAAGTGATTTTCTATTCAAAGAGTTTTTGTACATTGCAACAATTCCCAATCTGCGTGTATAATTGCGGTGTGTGTGTGTGTGTGTCTCTCTCTTTTGTGCGTGTTTTTTTTTCATTTTTCGGTGTCTGATTTTTGATCAGCATGGAAATTATTCGAACAAGTGTGCAAAAGAGCAAAAAAAAAGTATGAGCCATGGAATGTCTGTCGCCAGCACCAAAACTCCAGTGATGAACCTTAAGAAAACACAAACATTCGAAATAAAGAGACATTTCTTTATGGACTGCATTCGAAAAAATTCCGATGCAATGACGCATACGGTCATAAAATTACAATCCACCAACAATAAAAAAGAGAGACACTCGATGTGCTTTGTCAACAGGGACACAAAACGGTTGACCACGAGCCGAGAAGTGCGTGTATATTTACCAGCCAAAGAAACACAAAAAAAACAAAACAACAACACTAAAACCGAATGTTGTAAATACAAAGAGTCAAAATGGATAAAAGGCCGTATATCAAAAGCCTAAAACAATATATAAACACAAAGCGAAACCCAGCCGAAAAATATAATGTTCATATTTATATGCGTGGTGAAGAAAACTAAAGAGCCCGGCCGAAAAAAGCAGCAAACCGACACACACACAAGCTCACACACAGATAAATGCGTGTACAATGAAATGAATAAATGTCCGATTTAAATCTGGTCAAACCGGACGAATATCTATAGGCCATATCAACGAAAACGTCGACAAACTCACCGAAAAAAAAGCCAAACAACCAAAACGAAGAACGAAAAAAAAAAAACTTACACACACACACAGCAGCAGCAGCAGCGCCGAACGCGATCCACAAACGCGTATACATTGGCAAAGCATTTCTTCCATCGTCAAGAAAGATATGCATTTGACATCAGTTATATTTTTTTTCCATCGTTGTTCGTGTGTTATTTCTTATTTATTATTGCCTTTTTTTCTCTCCTCACCAGTCGGTTTGAGTTGGTTTCGGTTGATTCTTGTGTATGCTCTTTTATTTCTCTCTGCTGTGTCTTAGCTCTTCACCGAAATTATGAAGGCAAGCGAAAAAAAAGTATTATTATATACAAACGCTAAGATGGAATCAAATGACAGGCTGAAAAACCCGAATCAGCTCAAGACACACCAGTACCTGTATCGAGTCTCGTGATGTGTTGAGTCTGGTTCTGTTGTTGTTGTTGTTTTTCGCTGAACTAAGAATAAAAAATATGGCTGAACTGAATTGTGCCATTGCTCTCTCTATGTGTTTTATCATCGCCTCCAACGAGAAAAAGAAACACGACCGCAATATGATCAAAATGCGATTTGAGCGCAGATAATGAACCTGTCAAATATGGTGAAAAGGACCAAAGTGACAAAATCGAACATCGAATATGTCGATGAATTCACTGAGGTTCGGCGGCCGAATATTCATTTAGCGTCGTGTAAAAGAAACGAATGTTTGAGACGCATAAATTTGCGACTTTTTCTTATTCATAAGAAAAATGAGCAAATGTTTGACGTCAATGTAGAAGCGAATGTGCGAGGGGTTGACAAAGTCGCTATCGATTCGATTCGTTCATGAAAGAGTAGGCATATTTCATTGCCATCGATCGGCTCAATTACAACGTTGCCCACCTAATCGTTGAAAAACCGGTGCGCTGTGCGTTATTTTTGCTCCGTCACTCGTGCGCCTGAATAATAATTTAATCAATCAATTCATTAATGTTTTTTTCTTCTGTGTTTGGCTGCGTCGCACTTGCAACTCGGTTACGCTCATCGCGGTCGCTGCTGCTGCTGCTGCTGCTACAGGCAATCGTGTACCGATAGAGGCGCAATGAATTGTCAATTAGAAATTAAACGATTATTTACGTGTGATAAAAAAAAAAACAACACACCGAACCGAACAGTGTTCCGTTGAAACAGAAACGAATTAGAGTTGTTGAGGCGATAAAACGCAAATGCTACGAATTAAAATTGTGTTCAATAATAATGGCGGTGGTAATATGGTGATTTATTGTGTGCGCGACCAATGCCTACGAGCCGCAATAGATAACGATAATTGATAACATGACGACAATTTTCAGTTGCTGTACAGTAATTATTAGAGAGGCAAGCGAACAAGCAAGCGAGCAAACAAAGCATATAAATAACAGCGCCGTAGCAATCATACCGAATGTCGCATAACGGAAACTGCCATCAATTTCAATAAGCGATTGCGCTTAATGATGAAAAATAAATCGAATGCAGACGATGTGATTATTCACTCATTTGATTTCACAACGATGGAATTTTTGGCCATTTTTATCGAAACAAAAGTGGTGTTCATAAAGTTTTGTCACAGTAATTTACACATTTGCACAATACAATTTTTACCGTTTCAACTGCTTTGAAATTTGATTTGTTTGCACTCCATTTCGGTCGCCATAAGTATTATTATTCGTTCGTATAGAGCACGAAACACTCAGCCAGTATTTTTATCATGTGCGTAGTAATTCGGTGCAGCAGTTTCATAAATCAATTGATAGCAGTTGGATAAAAGAGCAAATACATGTATGCAAAAGCGAAAAACAGTTGTTGTTTGTCGTTAGGCAGACGGGGGAAAAATGCGCCATGGAGTGAAATAAATATACAAATCAACACGGCATTCTGTGCTGTCAGCAAGTTACTTGTGCAATTTAACTGTAAAAACAAGTGGAAATATGAGAATATGCGATATATAAAACTCAAGAAGAAAACGAGCGAAATAAAAACAGTACAGAATAACAACCGTACAAACGCCGAATTCCATAGAAGAAGCAAAAAAAAAAGAGAAGAAACAAACACTGTGCGCTCTGTCCACGTTCACTCTAACACGTCTTCGTTCACCGTTTTCTCTCGCACAATGCGTACTTTTGTTCAATTGTTTTGTTTTAATTTAGTTGTATGCTATCCATACACACAAAAACAACGCATATTTTAGTCGCTGTCGGAAAGGAAATGGATCGAAGAAAATGCCGTACAATAAAAGAAAAGCCAAGTGGAGCTCCTGCACTCCGGTTGGCAAAACGAAACGGTTGGCTTTCCATCGACAATGGTGACGACAACACGAGTAGCAGCAGCAGCAGCAAAAACGCTGCTCGTGTTAGCTTACGCTTACCAGATGGAAAATCACCTCAGCAGGAAAATCAATATTTTTATTTATTATGACGTGGATAAAGTACGGTTGAGTTGGAAATGCTTTTGCTCTTCACTCATTCGGCCGGTTTTACTCTTTTCGGCCAAGTGTCGACATGGTGCTCGGAATCAATTTTTCAAAATATTTCCATTGCGGTACTCGAACTTTTCGGTTTCTAAGAATAGAATCAACTAAATAATTCGGCGCATGCAAAATGAAATTTTTATTACCGACATATCAATTGAAATTACATTCATGAGAATTCATTCGCTGTGTAAGTGTTGTATTCAAATCGAAATGAATTTACCGACTAGAGTCATGGTTCGAAATGGTAACGGTTCGCTTCAATTGAACGCAATGGAATAGACTTTCAAGTGAATGAGATTCGACTCAATTCGTCACAATCCATATATATTACATGGAACAGGTGATCACCATTGCTGCGAAGGGAGAGTGAGAATTCAATTCTCATGTTTAACATGTTATCGATCACGTTTTTTTTATACTCAAATTGAAAAATGATACATTTGACCATGCAATTAAAAATTGCTACAACACACGAGTAGCGCTCCCCTTCCTCCGATGTTAATGTCATAAGTCAATGTTAACCGGCCAACGGAAAGAGCAACATTGTGTTGTGCTGTATAGTCGATGAATTGAGAAACGAAAAACAGAAAAAAATTTAAACAGAATTACATGCAGCCGTGTGAAGAAGAGCTCATTGCATCGAATCTATGTTTTAATTTTGAATTTTTTTATCTGATTTTTAATGATGATTAGCTTCTCGTTCATATGTTCGTTCGGTGTTTTTTTTTTCTTTCTGATGTGCAAACTCATTAAAATTTTAATCGTGTTCATTTTCTG